TACTCAGTGCAGGTATAATGATTTGTTACTTACAGAGGGCATTCATAGCTGCATGTTAAATCAAACCACAAGGAAAATGCTGTCTGTGTAACAACCATGAGAGCAGACAAGGCTTCCTCTTCTCAGATTTATCTGCAGCATAAACACTTTATGTTTGCTGGAGAAATGTTAACACTCATAAGAGAGAAAATACCAATGTTCAGAAAAGAAAAATGGGAGTCAGTTTGCCTGTGTTATCTTTCCTGTTAAAGTTTACTATTAAATCTGTGGGGTAACAAGAGCACTTCAAGGCTGCTTAACCATTTGTAGTATATGCATATATATTATTTACACTTACAAACATATACATTATATAGAGAGATAATATTTATATTATATACATACATATATCTGAAAATCTAAACGTTAAATTATACATATACACATATATAAATGTAATAGTAAAAATACTTTTACCCATTCCTAGAACTGCAGAAACTCAGTATTTGAAAGCTGCTTTAGCTATCGGATTTCCTTATGGCCATTGGAAAGCTAAGGGATATGATGTGGATTTCGCACCGTCTGACTGCAAAACTGGAAATTAGTGTCTAGGTTTTTACCTCATGTTGTTAGTATTATATGTTTCCCAGTTAACTCTGAAACCTATTAGATGTTTCACTATTGACTAAAGTACATGTTTGCAGGGATATAAAATGACAACTTTTCTGGCTCCTTCCATCACCTGAGACTCATCTCTGCCATACATATATTACCTGGATGTGAGTTTTCTCCCTTTCACGACTTTTTTATATTGTTGGCACAAAAACTGCTGGACCCTCAGACACTTAAAATGAGAAACAAATGGAGAGGAATATAAAAAAACCAGTATTATTTAGGCAATTGTCTCAAATATGTAGTTTTAATGATAAATTCTAAATAACTAGCAAAATGTTGAGAAAATGGATTAGAAGGGGCCAGACTCAGAATAAAAATGTAGGTTTATCATGAAAGAAAGTTCATGGAAACTGTGTGTTTTATTAAGAAAAATACCATTTGAAGTGAAAATGAAGAATATGAACCACAAATTCAGATGCTTGGAGCTTCATTGTAAAAACCTCAGCAGTCCCCATGCAGTCCCAAATTCATTGAAGGTACAGCTGTCTATGCAGGAAATACAGGCAAAAGGAGACCATGCAATGGAGGGTGCCATCAGATCCTGCAGAGCAAACATGTCAAACAGCTAGAAAAGTTGCATCATCCTCTTGGACAAAATAAAGAAAAGAAAATTAATTGTTCCATGTAATTTCATAAAATATTTGATGATTCAACCTGTAGAAAAGATAAAATTAAGTGCAGACAATCTGAAAAAACCAGAATACTGTAAGAGGAAAAAAGACCAAGCTGCCCTCTTATCCCTCAAAAAATCCCCAACAGACAGAGCAATTTTTTTAACTAGGGGGGTAATAAACTCATTTTGCTTTGACCTTTTCCTCACCACTCAGACACAATAGCAATAGCTACTATATATAAACCTTAGATGCTCTTGAGCTGTGCTCAACCAAAGGATATTTGTTTTAACTCAGAAAGGCTAGTGGTAAAAGAAGTTGGGGGATATTTTATTTACACAGTGATAAATTAACCTATGGATCGCTTCTCTAAGGGTAGCTCTAGGAATGACTAGGATTCAGAGGGATCCAGAAGGACTTTTTGGCCTCTTTTTTTAAAGCTCCCTCCATGACATTTCCTGGGCTTTTTCAAAGCTAAAAGGTTGCAGGACACAAAGCTTTATTCTCACATTTTACTCTTGAGGCTAGAAAAGCTTGTGCATTCATGCCCTAGCAATATTTGCCTGTGTAAATCTGAAATATGTTGGGCAGCTGTGGAAGGAGGGCGAAAAACAAAAAAGCCTTGTGTCTGAAACATTTTTGTTTGAGTGCATCCTAGCCTATACAGCTGGTCTGACTCAGCTCCGAGAAGATGCTGTGCAGCTGTTTCTCTGGAGCAATACCTGTGGGCAAACAGCAGCAGAGTCCAACATCTATGTATATCTTCCTGATCTCCAGAGTTCATTTTGTCCCTTCTCTGTCATCTTTAATCATGAAGCATTAGGCTTTTTCTTACTGGATATTCATGCACATATGTTTAGAACTTACAGGGACAATCAACCATTGTTCCAGTTTTCCTATTGATGTTTTTCTTGCAAATCAGAGCCCAGGGACTGGCCACAAGCCCAAATCCCATCTTTTCAAAACTGATTACTTCTTTACTGGGACACTGTTTGCTCTACTGCAAGTCTAAGACTGTGTTCAGCTGGTGCAAACTGACTTCATCTCTTCCAGAAGTTAGGGCAGGATGCAGCCTGGATACTGTACAGCTCTGGCAAGTCAAAGCAGATGAAATGCTCTCCCCCCGTGGTAACTCTGCTGCTGACTAGAAAAAGTGGCCCCAAGTCCAAAGTGGTAGTAGCATCTTGAAGAAGCTCACAGAAGGAGGATCTAGAGATTAAACCATCTCATTCCAGCTCTGATGAACTCATTCAGTTGGAAAGGCAAAACAAAACAAAATATGCATGCATTCCTGTCTGAATATGGGACCACAAGGCAGCTAGGCACTGAGATACCATGCAAATAGAAATAATTAAACATTGGAACAGAATAACAGAGACATCACTAGGAATTATCAAAGGAAATTTTTGAGGAAAAACGAATGAATCTCCAATGCCCTGAGATTTGCTGTTCTAAAGAAACAATTCCCACAGAAAAAATGGAGCTAACCCTACAGCAGAATGGAATAATGGTAAAATATTTCTCATGCTAGAAGGTTCTGAAATGTCTAAGGTAATCAATTTTTAAATGGTACATATGTGGAAAAAAAAGCCTTGTGGTAAATGAACCTTGGTAGGAAGAGCAGCAGAACCCAATTGGTTCCATGGCAGTAGGAGATGGCCATGACCCCATTTCAAGCTGTAAGCCATACAGCTCAGAAATAAGTGGAAATAAATGACCAAGTCATTAGGATCCCAGTGGGGCATGCAGCAATCTCAAATGGCAGCTGATCTCCCACAGTTTTACACACTGATCTTGTCCACTGCTGGGAAGAAGTAAACTCAATGACTGTGCAACGCTGTGCATTTCTGCATCTTTCACACACGTGTGCGCACACAAATGCACTTATGTGCAGATTTTAATAAACATGTATGTACTAATATGAACTTTTAGACATACTATGAATTCTGGAGCTTTTTATGAAGATTCATTTCAAGGGAAAAGGATAAAACATCATAGGAAGTCATTGCTGTGCCTGAGTGGAGAACAGCAGTTGGGAAACCTTGTTTGCCAGGCACACCTGCAGAAAGCCTCTGCCTCTCCCCATCACACCCAGCAAGGTGAGAGACAAATAATATAAGCTCCTTTTGCCTTTCCAAAGAACACTGTGATAGATTTTTCAGTTAGATTATGTCACAGTCTTTGTACTTGTAAGGATTGTTTTTCTAATGAGGCAAAAAAGGTCAAAAGAAATTAATAGCCAAGATAACAGTTATCAGTCTGATACAAATAAAGCAGCATATAATGTTTGCAATACACTACAATCTGCGACAGATAAAGGAGTCTATAGCCAAAGAGTGTTTAAAAGGAAGCTGGTATTGCAAATATCTACTCTCTAAGCTCTCTTTTTAAGCAGATGACTGGGGCACAGTTGCTGTTCGTAGTTGTTGCTGCTGAAGCCAGTGTTGCCACTGAGGCTTAGAGTAAGGACATCACTCACCCAGCAAGGCTCAGCCTCTCCCATTCAATGGTTTAGATGTGATCCAAAAGCCTCATGCAACGGGGACCAGGTTTTAAGCCTCTAAGTGATGCCATAGTGCCAGTAACCTCTGGGTAAGAGACATAATACAAAGATCTCCCTTGCCCTCATTGCTGTTTTTATGTTCTTCCCAGAACCCTTCTTCACCTTAACCCTGCAGAGCACTCCATCACTACGTTTGTAAGTCTCCAGACACCAATATTCCTGTTTTGTGTATATCTCAAAATGCCAGAGCGGCTCCTTCCTTATGTGGTTGTGACCTCAAAATAATTTTACTAGTTCTGCCTAAATTCTCTTGGGAATCTGTTTCAGTAAGGTACGAATCATGTGTGTAGTAGGTTATATGCAACACACACAGACACACACCCCCATAAGCCTCTTGTGAGGTGCCTCTGGAGCTTGGATATGAAGAAACTGAAGGCAAAAGCTGAACTGCTGCCAAGGGGTGAATTTCAGGTTTGATCCCAGGTGATGGGTTTTCATATTAGTCATTTTCAGGATCCTAATCTACCTCCAATAACGTAACAGGAGTTAAACTTTTCATTCCAAGCAAAAAGCTAGACAACTAGAAATGTAAATGCTACAGGGCCTGATTTCCATTGCTGAAGTTCCTCGTGGAAGCTTGGTCTCACAAGTCATGCTTTAGTGAAAGGGGTCTTAAGCGTCAGTATGATTTCTATCGCTTTTCCAAAACTTAGCTCCTCACTAGTCCTGTGAGTTTTTAAACCATCTGACAAAATCAGTGATGTACAATATATGTCCTGCTTTTAGCTGGGATAGAGTTAATTTCTTCTCCATAGTTGGTACAGTGCTGTGTTTTGGATTTAATGTTGATACTGATGTTTTGGGGTTTTTTCTTAAACTATTCTTAACCTGCAAGTTTTACTTTTGATTCTCCTCCCCATTCCACCAGGGTTGGGGGGAGGTGAGTGAGCAGCTCCATGGTGCTTAGTTGCCAGCTGGGCTTAAACCATGACAACACACCAGCATAATTTTTGCTTTAATTAGTTTAGCTCATTTCCTTAAAGATATTAAATCTCTTGCACAAGCACCTCTCTTCAGTGTTGCATATTTTTTCATAGTAAATTATTCATTCTCAGTTGCATACACTTACAGACTCCTCTTAAGACATGTTCTATTGTTGGATTTGGGGTTTTTCCTTATATTTCAGTCTGAGCTTTAGAATCACTAAATGTTTACAATAATCACATGATGCCTTTTTTTCTTTTTCAAAGATACTTTATTTGCAATAGCAGTGTGAGAACAGTAGAATACATGTGGGAACCAGATAATCAAGTATGATTTTATAGTGTATTTTTTTCAGTAGATTATTCCAAATGTTACATATGGAAGTTTTAAGTCCTATAACATTAGTTCTGATATCATGGTGACTAAGCATTTAAACAATAAGCAGTCTTGTAGAAAAATCCATGTATTGCTTTACCTCATTTGTCCTAAATTTCAGACTGCAACAGTGTGATTTAGATCATGTAACTGGGTAACAAATACTTCAGTCTATATTTACATCTTATCTATTTAGTAAGTCCTTGAGAAACTTAGATACACAGAGGCTGAATTGAGATACAAAAAATTGTGCATGGTGTTTTCACTTCTCACCTTGAAAAGAAAGGCTCGTAATGTAAATTTTCACATATTTTAATCAGATTAAAAATATTGGATGGTGTATAATATCCTGAATGTGTTACACAAACTACAGGTAAGATGTTACAGAGCACAGCAGCAAGTGCTCTGCCATCCAGCACTAGAAAGGTAGAAACTCGATGGCCATCTAGCTTTCTACTGAGGCAATTACTAATAATCAGAAATAAAGCACACTTTGAAAAGCTGATATGCAAATACATGTGACAAGCCTAAACATTGCATGAGATAAGTCTCACTCCTGCTTTCACTGAAAAAATGAAAGATACAGCTCCCAAACACTTCAACAGGAGAAGCGTTATGATGACAACTCAAATGCTGCAGGCTTTTTTTTTTCCTGAGAAAGAATTTGGGTGATAAACTCCTTCACACAACATAAAAGGTATTTGTGTGTGCCAATAGAATCACCCTTAACTTCCCTGCTTTCTTTTCTGAAATCCAGTGATTTAATATGAATGTGTTTGTTAGAGTGCAAATATAGCATATAAAACAATCATGCCATCATGGAGGAGTGAGACTCATCCATTTTGTTTTGCAGGACCCCAGAATTACGACAGACCTGGCAGACTTCTGGTAATAACCATCCACCCTAATAAACAAAAGATGTTTCATACCACAACCAAGAAATGCTTTAAGAGGACACCAAGTTATGTTATGAGGTGCAATTTAGAGCTGAAGAGCTTTAGAACATAAATCTCATTCAAACAGTACCAAAGCACATATTTTAAAATAATACTAAAGCAAAAGTATTTCAAATCCATAAAAATGTCATGCTAGTCTATTATTTAACCAAATGTGACTACTGTACAGTGATGACACCATTGCAAAACAACTTAGAGGAGCACATATCACTGTGTCAAAGCTAAATCAAGTCCCAACAGATGCTCAAGAGTGATGTTCCCTTTTATGAATGGTGATGTCTTGTGGTGTGGCAGAACCACCTGTGATGATGGACACTTCTAAGAATACTTTAGGGTGGGTCACAAACCTCAAGTTGAATGCATTTTCTTCCAAAATTAAATATCCTGCTGAGAGCCTCTACTTTTAGGAAAAAACACAGTGAAGTGCATGACAGAAGCAATCAGACCCCCAAAAAGCTCAGGACCATTTCCAACATAGTCAATGATAAACTCCTCCATGAGTCTCATTCTGTGGGAGTAGGAGCAGATCTACCACGTATTGCTTTCCTGCTAATGTCTGGTAGCATGGCATCATCCTTTACTGTCTAGTGGTCTCTATTTTAGCTTCTCTTCTGTCCCCTGATCTTTTCAGAAGTCTCAGGATCTTATGTCCAATACTCTCTGAGAGAGGAGTTCTCCTGGGACTGGTTCTAAGTGATGCACTTCATTAATACAGAGTATTTTAATGAAGAAGATCCTCCTAACAGAGGTGGCTGGTGCTATGCTCACTTTATGCTCACCTCAGCAGCAGAATTAGGCTGGGTGAGGAAAACACACATAAAGCCACTTGTGTAAAGGACCCTTAGGCATAAAACAAATCACAGCTTCTTATTTAAATAACACAGTACCATGCAAAAATCACAAATTAAGGAGTGTCTTGAAATACAAAAATGCAAACCTTTGCTTAAAAATCCACCAGTTCTATGTGTATGACACTTTACTTGTGGTAAGTCATGCAAAAGGTTTAACCAAAGAGTCCCTTTAACAAATACAGCATTTGAACAATATAGAAAAAAACCAAACCCAAACCACACACCTAGACAGAACTTCCCCAACAAGTTTTCAACTTCTCATTGAATCTGTTTAGCATGGTGTTTACCCATCTGAGCAGAGGTATAACACCACACCTGTGTTGCCCTTCCCCAGAAGACTTAGTCCTTGCTGTGGGAAGGAGCTCTTATCTGTGGTTTGACATTGTTCGTTGCAGGTCCGCAGCCATGCCCACGCCCTTGAATCATGAGGCTGTCCCTGTGTTGAGGCACAGCTAAGGACAAATATCAGTTGCTTTAGTAGACTTGACAGGTAGCCACTGCCATGAGAGGGAGCATGTCTGGTGGGAGGGCTCACATGTCAGGAGTAGGGCTGTCCCTGGATCACACAAGGAAGCCCTGACCTGTGCCTGCCTGTGCTACATGCTGTGCCTGGGTGGAATACAGGAGAGATCATGGTCCAACTGCAAATGCACGAAGGAGTCATGAATCTCATGCTCAGTGCAGGGAATTTGTGCCATGCTAACCGGGTTTAAGATAAGAAAAATGTGAAACTAGGAAAAGGACTATAGTAGGACACACTGGGACTATACAGTGCTGCAAGTAGGGGTAGTAGAATTGCACTTGAATCACAGTGCACAAATTCGAGGGTTGCAGGAGTTTATTATCTCATTAGAAACATCTAATTCCTTGTAATAAAGACTGTATGTAGAGTATGTCAAAGAACAGACAAGGCTAATACAGCCCACAGTCAGGACTAATACTTTTTTTCTTTTCTTCTTGCTAAATAGGCAGGAGTAGCTTTCAATTTAAAAATAAAAACTATATAATTACAGTAATAGTACCATGCTCCTGACTGCTTTGCAGCTGTGTATCATAAAACTCAAAGCTGCTGATCAGAAACAAAAGCAGTAAGTCAGTAACAGTTTTACAGAAATGTTCTGCTGGGCTGGTTATGTCTGTCAAAATACTTCTATAAGGGAAAGACTGTTTACCGAACATATTTCATGTACCTTTCCCCCTAAAATACCCTGCGCTTGCATCTTTTCCTAACAACACATAAAGAAACCTTAGCTAGAGGTGTAATTAAGACTATATGAACACTGGAACAAGCACAGATCCCATTCAAATAGTCAGGCAACACAACAAAAAGCCAGAAGCAGTCAAATTTTTATCGTCTGTTATAAAAAAAAAATTATTTCCCAATCAGTGTTGCAATACAGTTAAAAGTTAAAACCTCTCTACATTACTAATAAATTAAAAAAAACATATCTCCAACCATCTTGTAAGAAAACAGGTAAGTAATTTAAACCTTTAGTTTATATAAATTAGCACAGAAATGTGTATTTGAACAAGTGCACTGAAAACAGATAAACCTTCTTTTCTTCTGGTATCTCTTGTAACAGGAAAGCCTTTATATTCTTTGCATGACCTTGAGAGGCTGCTAACACTAAATGGTCAATAGTCAAACCCGAGGAGAGTGTTTCACCAGACAGACGATAACAAGAGGGAGAATGCAGTACAGTCAAAGGCTTTGCAGCCTTATTATTATACACTTCAGCATTCCATTTTCAGCATATTTACTCTTGGAGATGTATTTTTATGGCAAATCACATGAGTGAAATTTGATGGGTTGATATATTTTTTAAAAAACCTACTAAAGTATCATTTTTTCCGAGGTAGTTTGCAAGGAAATAGTGATGTACATGAGTGGAAACAATAGTCCTTTGCTCGACTGTGAATAAAAGTCTTAAATACTGCTGGTGCTGTCCCTGAACCTTGCAGAGAATGTTTAATGGATACGATGTTATAATCAGAGCTGACAACAGTCAATTAAGTGTCAGAAGAACAATCTGATAAGTAGGTCTTCATGTCTATAGGCATTTCCTGGTATGTCTTAACTGTCAATCTGAATGTTAAACATCTCTATCTTTATCTCGTTATTGACTGATTTATTAAAGGAGAATGTTTTCATCTCTTTTTTTGATTTTGGGGTTGCTCCAGAAAGAAAGAAAGGAAAATACTAGGAACAAGTCTTAATTTGCAATAATAGGTGGGGAATCCTAATTATAACAAAGTCCTAATCCTCCAACTGAGCAGGTGTATGGTTTGGTGACACCAATCCATGCAGCTGCCCACACCATACCTTTCAAGAAGTGGTAAATGCTCGGTCTAGAGGAGATCTGTTTCTTTAATAGGTGGAAGAATATCTGTGGACGTGCTAGGAGGCTGCTCTCTGCTTTCAGTGCTTCTTGCTAGTCATACAGAAGACAACACCTCGCTGGATGGATCTCTTCCCTTCTTGTCCTCACCCCTGTCAATATCAATCACATGAACTATGCCAGGCTTCAGGATCAGGTCATCGGTCTCTACTTGGCTCCTGTTATCATCCACCTCGATGTACTTCCCTTTGGAAGGCTGGGTAGCCTTACCGAAAACATCTTTGAAACGGCGCTTGAGTTCAACGTCTGGGCAATAGACGTACTCATAAAGAGCACCAGCAAGGACCGCTCCTATTATTGGTCCCACCCAATACACCTGCAAAAAAGAGGTGGAAAAAAACCCAGACATTAAGCTCTAGAGCAAATAAAGAAGCCAAGGTCTCAGAGAAAAGCATGTAAGTACAGACCTTACCCAGAAAAGTTTCCACAAAATGCCCTGGCCCGATTATTAAAACCAACTCTGCAGAAATGCATGGTCACATTGCTCCCCGGCTTTCATGAACCGGAATGAAATCTGCCATCCAGTTTATGAGTCAGAGAAGTACAACTACCATAGGTTTCACAGATGGTGACTTAGAGCTCAGTGTGAGTGCTCTAAAATCACATATGAAGTTATTCGAAGGGCAGTTTCTTGTTAGTGGCATTAGTCTTTGGTATTTTTTCTTTTTTCTTTCTGCCTTCTCCCTGTCTCTCCCAGCTATTCTAGCCCTTTCAGAAGTACTCCACAGTCACCCTGCATCCAGTCATCTAAATGATCTCGTATCCGTGGGTGCAGCTCTTCCCTAAAAACTCCTCTCACATCAGTGTTTCAGGAATTACCAGGCAGTGGACCCCATGCAGCAAAGAGGAACCTACACTGACATTTCAGTGAGGTACATTTACTACTTCCCTGATGCCTGAAAAAGATTTCAATCTACATATCCGGTTACTAATTTTCTGGAATAGACTGGCTGAGTGGCAGTGAAGCTATGGACCTCTCGACAAACAAAGGTCATCCTCTCTGGCTGCCCCACCTTCTCCTATTAATGGAAACCAGCTTTTTTCCCCCCTTTTTATGGGAAATTTAACTTATTTTTTAAAACTTTGTCCAATAATACAAAAGTACAGGTTCTTCAATTTCCTTATTTTAACCAAACAGAACTATAACATTTCTTGAGACAAAAAAGGCAACAGATCCTGGTGGAGTCATGTATGTCAAATACATCTCTGTAGTCACATACAACAAATAGATGCTCTGACACAGCTTTACTTTTAAACTAGCAGTGGTAAGAAGATTGAGAAGCAGGTCAACATCTTTGAAGTGAAATAATTTTGTCAAGTTTCATTGATCCATCTCTTTACAAGAGGCCTCCTCTAACTTTTCATTGCTCATTGCCAGCTGTAGGCCACATATTTGGACTGTTTGCAAGAAGACACACAAGTGAAACACTGATGTAGAAAAGTGATTTCTTTCTGCATTTTCAACCAACATGACAATTAACGTTCAAGAGAACAAAACCTTTCCTAATGTACACACAAACAGTTCTACTTCAGTATTTCAGACTCATGTTTCCAAAATAATTCAAATTTGGCTTCTAATTCTACAGAATACAACAGGCATTCAGCCACCTGATAATATGATTTGAATAAGCAAGTATAATGAATATAACACAACTTTATAGGTACCTATCTATTTCAGCATGACACCCAGGAGTTTGGTAACATTAGTAGGTGCCAAAGCCCACAGGCTTCTGTGAATGGCATGCCAATGTCACTGATCTGGAGGAGGAGAAAAGGCTGTCTTTCCAAGTGGCCAGGACAGTAACTAAGCTTCTCCTACAAGTTTCTCCATGGTACATTTGTTTATTGTTTATAGCTTTAGTTATAAATTACAGGCTTCGTCAGAGTATGGATAATTAATCTTGTGAAAAACTACAGCAGTTTTTCATATGAACAAACCATTCACTGACAATGGGTAAATCTGCCTCAATAGGATAACTCTTGGGAACAAAGTTACACATGGTATCATGTTTGCAGAATTGGAGCCTTAGGGCCTGAAGACAATGCTATTTCTGTTATTAGCTGCAGTGAGAGCAATGTGGGCTTCATACTACAAAAATCAAGAAAATCCTTCCACACACTGTAATATGCAGCTCTTCCAGTTAGTATTGAAAGTGTCCCTAGAAGTGCTTTCCCTGTCTATAATTAGGTGAGGCTGAGTTGAGATCCATCTCTGTCTTATAAAATGTGAAATGGTTTTTAATAAGTTGGATAGTGGGATTCTGTAGAAAATGACTGCATCATTCACAGTCTGTTTATCACATTGTTTCCTGCACAACTGCTCCTAGCTAAGGTGATGCTTTCAAACTGAAGCAGGTAACATCTGGTCTGGTCTGCAAAGACCAGACTGCAACCTCTTCATCTCTCACTACAAGCATTTGCTGAGGCAGGTTGTCCCCCAGGAACCACATCACAGAGGGTCCCTCCTCTCATTTTTATATGTTTCCCCCAGTTTGCTGCAGAACCAGGTGAAATGTGAAGCCAACAGAATTACTTCTATAACTGCTCACCACATGACCAGCAGGGTTTGCAATCTGCCTTGGAGGATTTTTCTTTCCAGTAGTTCAATTCTTTCTGTTTCACTGCATTGCTTTTTTTTGTTTTGAACTTTTTGTATGGTTTCCTTTCTACCCCAGCTACTAGCTCCACCAAATGGCCCCTGAACAGTAAGAAGGTATTCCAACGTGCTGCATTACTGCCCTGCAGTCCTAGGTGAGGAGTATGATGATACCTGAGCATGATGATACCTAAGCTTGCAGCAGGTCAGTGCCTGCCTTCCTCGGTGATAGTCTCTACAGGATGTACTGGGAGAGAGAGCTAAAAGCAAATGATGTATGAAAAATTCTGATCGCTGTTTGTCGCTATGGTGAAGGAAGCATGAAAGTAGAGTTACCCATTGGTTTTCCCATCTTCCCATGATGACAGCAGGTCCAAATGATCGAGCAGGGTTCATACTGGCACCGGTGTAATTGATCTAAAGCAGAGAGAAAATGTTATTAAAGTCTTGACGATAGGGATTTGATTTCTATGGAACACCCTGGTTTTGTATGGCTTCTCATCTTGACAGTGGGTGTCACTACTCTCCTGAGTCTTATCATAAAGTTAATGAAGTCATCACATAAACAGCCAGAAGAGTTCTGGTGCAACACCCTACCCAAGGGACACTCCTGCAAACTCCAAAGGGTTTTCGCATGGATCCATAAAGAATACAGCAGCTATATTAGCTGCAACAGCTCTAAAGGTCACAAAAGTTTCCATTTACTTCTGAAGTAGTCATAAAGGGTAAAGGGATCTATTTTTTAATGAGAAATCATTAACTTACAGCAAATAAATGTCCAATTGCAACAGAAAATCCAATTGCTAAAGCTACTGAACCAGTGACATCACTTCTTTTTGAATCACAACTAGCAAAAATAGTAAAAACCAGCTGGAATGTAATTATCAACTCCACCAGGAGTCCATGCCCAGCAGAAAGATCTCCATGTACCTGGAAGAAGGGAAAGAAACACCAGAAATGAAGAAAAGGTGATTTCATAAATCAGAAAGCTATCACATACATTAATTGTATTTCAATGAACAGTACTTCTAAATGTTACAGAGTAAAAGACAACAATGAACTTTTAGAGGTACAGATTGCCCCCCTCTCCACTTTCCTTTTTTTTTTTTTTTAAAACTTTAAAATATTTTTTTATTTTGAGAGTTATGGAAAATCACTGCTGGGCTGAGAACAGAAGGCTTAACAGTAACATCCAACATGGACTTCAAACTTAGACTGCAGAAGTATAGTTTATTTTTACACAGGGATTTGCAAATGCTGCACTTCCCTTTCGCCATTTTTTTTCCTTGGGAGCACTGTAATTTACTATTCAATTATAAATTCATTAATTAGCCCTGACTTAATTAATTTAAATTTCAATTAAAAATTAAGCCGTGTGCGGCTCAAGTGCATTTTTAATAAGTCCTGCAACAGGGCTAACTGATGGCATTCCTTATTAGTTTAGAACAAAGCTGAAATCTAAGCCACAATCTATTTCAAAAGTATGTCATTTTAAATTGATGTTTTTTCAATCCCCATCATAATAGCACGGAATTAATTTCCCCCCTCCCCAGTCCATACAAAAATGGCATTTCACGCATATATTATTTAAATTTTGTATGTAAATTAACATTACCTGCTGTCATCAGATTTGGGGAAGTTCTAGGAAAGAGAACTTCTATAAAAAGAAGAGCTATAGATAGTACACTGCATAAACCTATCCTAAGGAGAGCTTTAAGCCCTATCTAGATGCAAATAAACCAGCAAGCCCTTAAAATCTCTACTTGAACTCCCTTCATTCTGTGTGACACTGATTATATTTTCTTAGGCTCTAAGCTAGTCTAGTTCAAGAGCCAGAGGAGAAATGATTACCGCAGTGACTCCCAGGCCTCCTACCACGCTTGGAGGTGTGACAAGGTAAAGGATGCCTGCGCCCACGATGGCTCCCAGGCACTGGGCAAGAATGTAGAAGACGGACTTGGCGAGGCTGATCTTCCTCGTGCAGACCATTGCCACGGTCACAGCAGGGTTAATGTGGCCTCCGCTGATGTGTCCAAAGCACTGCACCATGGTTGCAATGCTGAGTCCAAAGCAGAGGGAGATAAGGACCATGTCTACAGGCAACGGCTTCTCTGCTCCACCCCAGTTGATCGTGGAGCCGAGGCTGAGGAGGACAAAAATGAGCATGGCCAAAAATTCTGCCGAAACGGCCTTCCAGAAGGCCTGAGTCCAGACTCCTTTAAACGCCACCATAATTCTCTCACACTTACACAGACGTCCACACTTACTGAAAAGGAAAACAAATCTTCATCAGAAGTCACCAAATGTTTGTTGTTCTCCTGTTAGGGGTTGCTGTTCAGCAGATTTTGGAGAAGGCTGCAACACTGAGTATCATTGGCCTGGGACAACCACAGACTACACTCTTAGAGCAGTCTGTCCTTAAAACACAACCAGTGTTGGACTGTATGCAGGACACAGGTTAATTAATCACTCCTTGAGATAACTCCGTCCGTATAGTGTCAGCTCCCAAAAAGCAATGTCTGTATATTTTGAAATGATTATGAAAATAAGTGCATTCTTCCATGCTAGCTGACTTCTTTCTGATTTAGAGACTGTATAATTATACCACTTCAAGTGGCCTCTTGATCAACATGTTCATTAAATCAGTGAGTATCCTCTTTTTCTATGCAAATCTGTACTTTTCACAAAGCAGGTAAGATAATTCAATAAAAACTAGTAACTTAGTCAAAGCCTAATGTTTGTCATGACAGTGTAGTGTTAGGAGTTTGCCCTGGGAGCTAGAAGAGAAAGTCTATTTGCTTGAACACTCATATAGACCAATATTTCAAATTATACTTATGCAAAGAGCAGTTTCTTCACTGTCGATGGAGGGTGACAATTTAATTCAGGCAGGAGAATAGATGCAATCCTACATTCTGACCTTTAAATCAATCATGCAATCAATAAAGTGCTTTCTTTTGGGCTAATGATGCCAAGTGAGCTGGGGAATAGATAATATTTTCTGTATGTGTGGTGTGTAGAACTCTGCATGGCAAAGAAGGGAGTGTCTTGTTTTTTCTCCCTGTCTGGAGATGCTATTTATCAGTCTACACTGCCTTCCTGATGAGTTACAATTTTGCTAGATGTTCAGATACCTATGAAAGTGGGTCACCAAAGAAAAGTTATTTGTGGTATTAATAAATTAGGAGAATAAGCCAAAAGGGAAGCATTTTAATGAGTTTCTAAGGCATGCTAACAAGATTCTTCTCTAAAAACAAAAGCAAAAAACCTCCAACCCATCCAAGAAGCAGAAAACAAAAGAAAGAATATTCAGTTGCTACATTTGGGAACAGAATTTCAAGTGAAAGATGGATGAATTTATGCTCAGTTATCTGAGGTAATGAAGTTACAATGCATATTTAATATCAGTTACATCAGAAAGAAGCATAAAAGGCATGTCTGCCCTTTTCAAGTTATTGCAAGAGGAATGGACGATGAATTTCTTAACAGTTCCAGTGAGTTAGGGAAAAGCAATTTAACCCTGTGACTGGAGCAAGTAAGTTGTTTCCCTGTCTCATTTCCTATGCTAATTTACTCTGTGTTTTGGATAGGCCATTTGAACTCTATCTCAGTTCTCTAGACTCTCATGTGAGAACAAAAATTACATTATCTCCTACAAATGGCTGTTGAAAAGTGCTTGTGAAGTGATCTGAGACACCTCAGCAGGACTTGCTCTACTAGAAAGTGAAGCCAGAATCTCAAAAGAGAGATAAGTCATACCCCAAATCTTCTGATTTTGGGTCAAACTCAAGACAAATGGAAAGATGTTTTTGTAAGATCTCACATTAACAGTCAGTTAATGATCAACCATCTAGACTAGACTTTTTGTTCAAAATGACCCCCAAACCATTGCCTCCCTCAAAGCTGAAGCTCAGAGGTATTTGGTTGCCCTTACCTTTGAACCCTATGCCCAGCTTCACACTGAAACTTAAAGGCTTATCTCTGACACCCTTATTACTTCCTCACTAATAATTTATCTTAGTGACCTGAATAAGACGTAGGTGCTCTATCCATACTGAGAAAAGTTCATTTTCCCAGGGTATGTCCCAGGTGAACATTTAATATAGGGATGACACATGTCATGAAGCCCATGGAAAAGAAACCTGGATGCATAGATAGGAGAAACAGCATTCATCTACCCTTTCACTCATCAGCTCAGTTGGGATGCAACCCGGATTTCCCTGAGCAAAATGCAAGCCCTGGTGTTATATTCAAGGCTTTTGGAAAATTTCCAGCCACCAAGGGCACTGTGAGGGGAATGTAGACTTATGGAGCATGGGAGAGAGGGGTATGGTAACTCCTGATGTCCTTGTTCAAGTGTGCCTGACATCCTTTTCTGTATGCACAGAACAGTGAAATTTGCAAATTAATTACACACCTTCTTCCTGGGAAGTGGATAGAAAAAGGGGTTTGTATTTGGCATTAAAATAATGCAGTTGGCTTCTCACTAGTTGTGGAACATCTTGGAAAAACACATTAAGAGTGAGCGTGTGCGCAGGTGCACACATGTGGAAGAGAGAGACAGGGAGGATGCAGAGGATCACATCTTCTGCTGAACTGCTGATGGGCCTGACCAGAAGGAGGGTGCCACTTATGAAGGACAGATCTCATACTGCTTCTCCAGTTGAGACCATATCCAGTCAATTCAGTCAATATTATTTGCAGCCCTGAAAATGCAAAACTGTTGCATGCAAGCCAAAAGCTTCAAACATAGAAGCTTGCTTGTCAACATGAAGTTTCTGTTCTTCTAGAACATCATACTACATAGAACTCCACTGTCAGCCATACTTTGACAGTTAATCATCTAAACATCTATTTTTAATCCATACATGTTTTTCTGAAGCAGTCTGTTTTTCTATAATTTCAACACCCAGCAAAATGCTCAGTTGTCAGGGTCAAATTTTTCTTTCAAACTGTGCACCTTCCGTCCTAACAGTAAAACCTCCTATAAATATTAATAAAAGCTTAATACTGTGTTTGAGCCTGGAGTCCAGGTTTTCACTTAAATCCAGAGGTGATCAGCAACATAAAAATCAACACTATCTCCAACATCCACTATTTTTTCAGCATGCAGTTAAACTTAAGGGCTTGAGATGAGACAGAGAGATGGCTGTGACAGGTCTGAAACTAAAATGGGACTTTCCAGCAGCTAAGATTTACCATCAAAGTTGCAAAACAATTTTTTTGGAGTAGTTGTTGTTCATGGTTTCCTTAGATAAATCCAAAACACAACAGAAAGCCACTTTCAAGTTATGGTCACACATTAATTTCATGTGGGGCCACACGTGAAATTCTCTGGTCTGGACTACAAGATTACATAGTGAATTGTGTCTGATAGGATGTAAGGTGGGTTTTGCATTGCCAGCAGGGCTGCAGGCATGATTACGGCTTCAAAGCCATAACAATGTAAATCACAACAAAGGCTTCAATACAAAAGTCAAACAGTATTTTAAAAATTCTTTTTCTAATTAATACAATTTCAGAGAGCAGACACACAGCCGGGACATGAGCTTGTGGCTAGCCACTCCACACGACACTCCTGTCGCATACAAGTTCTGTGCGTGGAGTGGCTATTTACAGTGGCATCTCCGCAGCACACTCCCACACTGCCAACCTGGGCTGGCACCGCCGGCTGGAGCTCAAATGGACAACGGGCACCCGCTGGCCAACTTTGGGGAAGAAGGGGGACAGGCTACTCTTGGAAAACAATTGCACTGTCGCAGGGCTTGCTTGTAACCATTTTGCTTCCTTTTCCAATACGATATTAAGTGAGCAACTGAGATGGATATCTACAGGACGTGGGGAGCCTCGGAAGCCCAGTACCGCAGCTTTTTAGCTGTGCGGGACCCGGGTTTTCTGCACGCACGACTCTCCACTGCAGGACCGCAAGTGGACAACAGAACCAACTTTTAGCGTGCGGAAAAGGAGAGGGGGTTTGCGACTCTCTGTCCCCTTCGCACCTCTGGTGTTAAAACCGATAGGTCCCGTAGTGCCTTCGGGGGTGCCCTGGCTGCCATCCCTCGGTGCAAAACGCAGGAGAAAGGCAACAACGCCGAGCCCCTCACCTGGCTGCGCACTCCTCCCGGGGCTGGCCAGCTGAGGGTCCCCGCGGGCGTGGAGCGCCCCTCCCGCAGCCGCGCACCCCGCTCCCCGAAGGTTTCCCTTAAAGTCATCTTTGGTTTGGGCGGGGGGGGGTGTGGGGGGGGGGCTGTCCCCCCCCCCCCCCCCGCCCGTCTCCCGCCTCCCCCTTGGGGCGCCGCCCCCCCCCCCCCCCGCCCGCCCCCCCCCCCCCCGGGGGGTTCTCTGAAGGTGCCTTTTGGGGGGGGGGGGGGGGGGGGGGAGGTTGGGGGACTGTCCCCGCCCGCCCGCCTGCCTGTCTCCTGCCTGCCGCTTGCCTTCCCTCCCTCCGCGCCCCGCGAGGGCCGTGCACTCACCCGCGGCGCGGAGCGGCCGCTCCGTCGCTCATGCCTCCCCGGCGGGCGCGGGTGAGCGGCGGGGCTGGGGCGGGCCGGGGCCGGGGCCGGGGCGCGGGGCGGGGGCGGGACGGCTCCCGACGGCTCCTGACCGAGCGGCTGCCGCCGCCGCGCTGCCCTACCTGCTGCGCCGGGCGGGCGGCGGGGACTCGAGGCGCGGCCGCCGGAGCACCGGCTGCGGGTCGCTTGTGGTCATGTGCCTGTGCAGAGTAGTGCAGGGGGGTCGCGGCTGCCGGTCAAAAAGAAGCGGCGCGGGGCTGCCCGGCAGTGGGAAGGATTCAAAGGTTTCTCAGTTTCTTCTCTGCCACTCTGTATTAAAGGGAAAAAAAGCCCTAGCAGCTCTGCAGCCAGGGAGCTTTATCCATCTAAAACACCTATGAGTACTTTAATAGAACTCTACTGGCTACAAAATCATAGAATCATAGAATATCCTGTGTTGGAAGGAACCCAGAAGAATCGAGTCCAACTCCTGGCTCTGCACAGGACAGCCCCAAGAATCACACAATGTGCCTGAGAGCATTGACCAAATACTTCTTGAACTCTGGTACTGTGACCATTCCCTGGAGAGCCTGTTTCAGTGCCCAGTCACCGTCTGGAAGAACCTCTTCCTAATATCCAACATAAATGTCCCCTGACACAGGTTCATGCCATTCCCTCGGGTCCTATCATTGGTCACTATGGAGAAGAGATTGGTACTTGCTCCTCCTCTGCTTCCCCTCATGAAGAAGTCCTGGACTGTGATGAGGTCTCCCTTTGGTCTTCTTTTCTCCAGGCTGAAGTGAGCCAAGTGACCTCAGCCACTCTGCATTTGGCTTCCCCTTTAGACCCTTCACTGTCTTCATAGCCCTCCTTTGGATGCTCTCTAGTAACTTTATATTCTTCCTATATTGTGTTTTCATAGAATAATAAAATCACAGAATGAACCAGGTTGGAAAAGACCTCTGAGATCATCAAGTCCAACCCTTGATCCAGCACCGCCCTGGTTACTAGACCATGGCACTAAGTGCACATCCAGTCTCATCTTAAAAACCTCCAGGGAAGGTGAATCCACCACTTCCCTGGTCAGCCCATTCCAATGTCTGATTACTTCCTCCATAAAAAGCTTCTTCCTAATATCCAGCCTAAACCTCCTCTGGTAGAGCGTGAGACTATGCCCTCTTGTCCTGTGGGTTGTCTGGGAGACCAACGCCCACGTGACTACAACCTCCCTTCAGGGAATTGTAGACAGTGATGAGGTCTCCTCTGAGCCTCCTCTTCTCCAGGCTAAACAACCTCAGCTCCCTCAGCCTCTTCTCATAGGAGTTGTGCTCAAGTCCCTTCACCAGCCTCGGTGCTCTTCTCTGGACCTGCTCCAGCATCTCAATATTCTTCCTGAACTGAGGGACCCAGAACTGGACACAGCACTCTAGGTGTGGCCTCACCAGCACCGAGTACAGGAGAAGAATCACTTCCCTGGTCCTGTTGGCCACACTGTTCCTGATAGAGGCCTGGATGCCATTGGCCTTCTTGGCCACCTGGGCACAATGCTGGCTCATGTTCACCTTCCTGTCAGTCCAAACTCCCAGGTCCCTTTCTGCCTGGTTGCTCTCCAGCCACTCTGTGCCCAGCCTGTAGTGCTGCATGGGGTTGTTGTGGCCAAAGTGCAGGACCCAGCACTTGGTCTTGTTGAACCTCATCCCGTTGGAATCAGACCATCTCTCCAGCTTGTCCAGGTCCCTCTGAAGAGCCCTCCTGCCTTCCAGCTGATCGACACTCCCCCCCAGCTTGGTGCCATCTGCAGATTTGCTGATGGTGGACTCAATCCCCTCATCCAGAACATCAATAAAGATATTAAACAGAACTGGGCCCAACACTGATCCCTGGGGGACACCACTAGTGACCGGCCACCAACTGGATGCAGCACCGTTCACCACCACTCTCTGGGCCCGGCCCTCCAGCCAGTTCCTGACCCAGCACAGAGTGCCCCTGTCCAAGCCGTGGGCTGCCAGCTTTTCCAGGAATATGCTGTGGGAGATGGTGTCAAAGGCTTTGCTGAAGTCCAGGTAGACCACATCCACAGCCTTCCCCTCATCCCTCATCAGGTGGTTCACCTGATCATAAAAGGAGATCAAGTTGGTCAGACAGGACCTGCCCCTCCTAAACCTGTGCTGGCTGGGTCTGATCCCTTGTCCATCCTGTAGGTGCTGTGTGATTGCACTTAGGATGATCTGCTCCATAACCTTGCCAGGCACTCAGGTCAGGCTGACAGGCCTGTAGTTTCCCAGGTCCTCCTTGCAGCCTTTTTTGTGGATCGGTGTGACATTTGCCAACTTCCAATCATCTGGGACCTTTTCATTGTTGTGGTTTTATTTGGTGAAGTTGCTAAATTCAATAAAGTTTTGCCCAGTGTGGAATGCCAAATGGAGGCCACTGGAAAATACTGTTTAAATTAGACGATGATGATCTCTGTTGAGAAAATTCACATGGACCCTACCCAATGCCTCTACAGCAAGAAAACAATTCAGTGAAAAAACAGCTCTTCATAAAATAAGAAAAACCACAAAGTTGTCTAAGCTCCCAGGCACAACTATTTCATTAGAGAATGCATAGAAATTGACGCTTGAAGAAGATATGGGTGAAAATGGAACAAAGTACCTAGAAAATCCTTTTTTCCCAGTGGCCTAGACCTTTGCATACAGTAGAAGAATCTGTGCATAAGTTATATAGAAAACATTCTAAGGGACATGTTCAAGTGTAAAATGAGGCTAAACAACATCTACCGTGATGCATTCATGCAGCAACTGCGAAAATAAAAGTTTGGCATGATCAGCCAGCCTGTACAAGACACATTGTGCCAGATAATCCTCCTAACCATGAGAAAACAGTGCAAGATCTGAAGAACTAGTCTGGACATGGAAACCACGGATAGAAAGTCCTGTCTTAGCTTCTGCTAGGAGATTGTAGATAATAATTTAAAACAGTGAAAAGCAAGCATAATGTGTAACATTATCAATTAATTTGTACACAGAGCAATAAAAAAGTCATGTCCATGTGTTAAATACTTACCAATCACAGTTGATGGCAAAAGAAGGTTATCATAAAGTATAAATGTAGGTGTTTCTCCCAATTTTGCCTGCTCTTCCCCTAAAGCCATGTCATAAAAGATACAAAGAGACATTCACAATTTGATGGCAAAAGAGAAACTGCAGGCTTGGTGTTCGCTTTTCTTGTTTTCAAGCTTTACTTCACTTGCTTATATCTTGAGTTAGTCAACACGGGGCTGGGGGAGGGGGGGGATGCAGTCATCATTGCACATCTCTGCTCTTTCATTTGGTGTGCTTGGTTTTTCAATCTATGCCCTCCACAATCTGCTACAGTGATTTCAGAAACTTCCAGTCCTAACATTGTCTTACTGACACATAAGGCCATAGTTTACTACATATACCCAAAGACCAAGTTTTTCTGTCAAGGCTGCAGGAGTCACAATGGAAGTATTTCAGGTAGTATGTTTGTCTGCATACTATTCTGTTACCCCTCTTCCCTTTTTGCCCTCTGCCAAGAATTACTGTACAAAAAGGTCATTTTTTAAGTGCTCTTTTTCAAACATCTGTGCCTTCCCTTCATGTGCTTTGAACATGCCTCTTCCCACATGCATTCGGTGAAGCCATTGTCTGATTATTTCAGACTTTGACACCATGGCTACTGCTGTCATACAAATCCTTTCTTCTGTTGTTCCAAAATCTGCAAAAGGCACCCATGCAAACCTCAAATTTCTTTCAAGTTTTGGAACTGGTTGTTTAAAATCAGAGCTGAGTTTACTTTCATAGCTTTGCCTTGAAAACACACTTGTTCTTTGGCACCTTGTGAACTCTGCTCCTTTGGCATGTTTGTTTGTTCACAAACAAAATATGCTTAACAAAACCAGTAATTGCTTTTCCTTTTCTTGCAGATAGCATGTATCTGCTCTTTTTGATCTTCAGAGCAGATCACTGCCAAACAGAGAAGCCAGAACATTAATAGCTTCTGTCACTGCTACCATTCTTATTGTGATAAATCTTCTGGAGGATTAGACAAAGGTTGTGGCCGCATAAAACAGAGAAAGGCAATGCTTCGGGCACAAACCTGGAGCGAACTGCACAGTGCCAGCTCTGATCAAACAAACAGACTATGTTCTGTTGTAAGCACAGAAGGCAAGGAAGACATCCCTTGAGATAGCACTGAACATCAGAGGAAAGCTGCCCCAGTTTGTACAGGGATAAATTAGCCAATGTTTGGAGATGGGACCACATAGGTTCGTTTTTGTTAGTTTGGTTTTTCATAGTTTTTGTTTTGGTTTGGTTGGGGTTTTGTTTTGGTTTGGTTTTGTTTTTTTTTTTTTTGTTTTTAATATGTATTTTCATCTTTAAAAACCTAGGCTAACTCATTTTGGACTTCTGTCCAACAATGAAATATTGCTCCAGCTACTGTGCTCAACATAGTTAAGGAAATAACTTACAAAAGAATATTATGAAAAATTTAAAGATGGTGTTAAAACCCAATCCATGTCGGGCCTGGGGCAGGGGGAATGTGCAGAGGAATCTCGCAGTGCGTCTGCTTCTCCTTCAGTGAACATTAAATCTGAGTTCCTACAGTAATTTCTAGGGCATCATGAATTAAAGATCTCCGTAGGAACACAAGCCATGGTGAGAAGATGCTCCAACACATAAGACATCCCCATTCTAAACAAGAACTTCCCAGATAGTTGAAGCATGCTGGATCTGGGATTTCAGTTTAGCCTGTTATGGAGGAGAGGGCACACTGCCAAAGTTGGAGAGGAATGTGCAAACAGCTAATTCCAGCTAAAACAATATTAGAGAGAGGCAGAAAAACTCCCAGCACTAGCTTCTATCACCTCACTGGGTAGCAGTGTGGGAAGAGTTCCTTCTCTTCTATGGCAAGTCTCATGGATATCCATTCCTGGGCAACTCCGTCAGACAGTGGGGTTTGTCAGACAAGACTGAAGCAAATTAAAAAAAACCTAAAGCCTAAAAAAAGAACATAATTTAGAAGCACTGTGTGTTTTCTCAGTGTCTTTGTACCCAGCGGATCTGGACTCCCCTCTCTTATGTTGCTGTTGTTAAGCTCCTCAGCTCACTCAACTCCTCTCAGCACCACTTCAGGCTTTTAGTTTCCAAAAGCAATGAGGCTTACATGCCTGTTCTCTCTCTCTCTTCCCCTCTCTTTGTTCTGGGTGTTCCTGCCCTTTTCAACAGAGCTTGAACCCACCAGGTAGTTTTAGCTACTGCTGATGGAGGATCAGAAATCCCAAAGCTGTTTAGGCTCCTGCCAGCCCCATGGGCATGAGTGGCTGCAGGTAACCACAGTGAAAGGGACGCTTGCTGTCGCTGGCAGGGGAGACTCCAGGAGGATTTGTAGGAGTGCCCTAGTGATGGAGGACTTAGTTGATGTTTTCAAAGTGGTTCAGACTCCTAGGAGACCAAATTCCTTTGACCTTCCTTGGCTCCTGTCAACAAGAGCATTTGAGAGCAGGCTGTAAGCCTTTCAGAAACCATTAGTGCTTGCAGAAACTTTCACTCTGTTGCTACTAATAAATCCCCCTCCCCTCACTCATTTATGTTTTATAAGTTTGGGTTAAGCTTTGTCTACTAAAAGGATCTTACATAAAACACCGCTTACTGAAACGTGATCTTTGCACATTTCTGAAGTTTTAATTTTCCTGTGGTGTAATCTTGTTACTTAGGTCATTCATTTTGTCACGCCTCGGTATCAGTCTGGTCCAGGTTTGGCTGCAGGGCTATGTTCTCCTGACATTTAGAGCAAGAATTCCCTGGGAAATCAGTCAAGGGATTTGACATTGCTGCTGGCTAAGCTCCAGTGGGTTTAGTTTTACTCTCCTTCTCTATTTATTGTGGAATCTGTCTGTCCACAAGCTGCACATTGAGTCCTGTGCTAGAGAAGGAGAACTAAAAGGGACAAAATGGCCATTCATTTGCGGGATTCATTCAGGCTTTTCAGAAAGGATTTACAAGAAGCTGTGCGCTTAAATGACTGCTGAGCTTCCTTAGCCCTGCTCTATTACCTCCCTCACAAGACAATTTGGATCGACTGCTTTTTCCTTTGCCCTCTCCCCCACCTCAATAGGCTGCAATTAGAGTTGGAAAAGCAAAATTAAGAACTAGGTGGTACAGGAACCACCTGGAGGCTTTTCATCTTTAAAAATAATTTAATTTGAACATGGCATGGACAGGCCCTTTGTTGGGGAAAAAAAAAAAATCCTTTTTCTCCCCTCCTGCCACAAACTGCTACAACGTCAGTTGCAAAAAGCTGCATTAGTAGCATGGGCAGCCAGGATTTGATGAACTGGAGGAGAGGAGCAGGAAAGCAGTGCTGGGCACTCATGGGGGCACAAGAGAGTTAGGGGAAGAGTTCCAGGTTGCCTGGAAATGGAGGAGAGAAGCAAGCTCTCTTGTGGAGGGGGGCAATAACATACCGCAGCACAGAGCAGGATGCAGTAAGCTCTGCATGTGCTGGGAGGGAAAAACAGCCCATCATACTGGTGGTCTGCGTACTGAGGGCTATATAGTCTTAGGCAGTGGGACCAAAAAGATTTATCTATCTTTGCTGGGTGAGACACTGAAATTCAGTTAAATGCTCATCAATTTAATCAGCCACAGAAAATGTAGTACTCAGTATACAGCACTGTTTTACACTCTGGAACATCCAGACATGCTTTTCTGACCAGTCTGAGTTGCTCTCCCTTATAGTGCTGTTGTTTCTAAGCAAGCTCCTCAGCTTGAAATGCTCAGCCTCTTCTCTCACCACTACTTCAGTTTCCTACAGATATGAAGCTCAGTCAAAGAATTGTGGAGTTCAAGACTACAAAGTTACATAACATTTTCTATTTAATGTCATATGTCATAGACCATTACACTTTACCTCAAGACACATTTCATGAGTTCAGTGACTTGTGTTTGGTTAAATATATTTTACGAAAACACCCTTGCTTAGATTTGAAAACTCATGGGATGGAAAATCCACGCGTTCCCTTGGTAGCTTATTCCCAAAACTAATAATTTTCATCACTGAAAATGGCCTTTGTCTCTAAACTGAGTTTGTATGAATTCATCTGCTATATGCTGCCTCTTATTATGCTGTTCTCTCCCAGATTAAAAAGCCTCTTGTACTTCTACTGTCTCCCCATGAGGACACTTATATAATGTGAGCAATTCATCTCTTCATCATCTTTTGATAAGCTAAGCAGACCGAGCTCTCAGAGTCTTTCCCTCTAAAGAAAATTCACTAATTTTTTTTTCCAGCTCTTGTTTGTGCCTTCATTGCTTTTTCAACATGCTTTTTAAAATGCATTTTTAATATCGGTCTCCCAGAAGGCATATTCTGAAGTAAAGGCATTTCCTGTAGCACACCTGGGAATTGAATTAGCCATTCTTGCCACAGCATTGCATTGAGGAAACCTTCTTCCTTGCTTCTCCACAATAACTCCTCAGACCTTCTGGGGATATAACCCTCATTCTGTAGATAAGTCTTGTTTCATTCTGAGGCATGCAATTTTGCAGACATTATGTCTGACAGGGATCACAGTAGAGCGTGATCCAGTCTGCTGTGTTTGGCCATCCTTTTCTCAACCTACTGATTTAATTCATGGTCAAACTATACTGGCAGTGATTCTATATTTACTTCCAGATTTACCCACTAAGGAAAACCCTAAAGCACATGAGGCCCCATAGTGATCACTTCAGATCCCCCAACAGCTTCCAAGATTAGTATATTAAGTACTTTCCGAGATCTGTCAGCCAGGTCTGAATCGATTTTACTGTTCCATGGCTAACGTACAGTGGTAATGCTTTAAACAGACAAAACTCAGTATAGCAGTAAAGCCTCTAGAAATGCTGAAACACACTGTACAGCTACCTCTGTTGACCATTGTGTAATTTTAAAAATTAAATCTGTTCTGTGTTGTTTTTAATTTTCTTTTTTTTTTTCCTTTGGCAAGGCTGAGCCTCAGTGGCATAGTATACTTGACATGTGGCCGAACGCTAGGAATTTGTTCTTTGTCCAAGCCATCTTTTGTATATAATACAATGATAATATGTATAATACATATATAGCTTTATATTCATAGTATTTATATACCTAATGGAAACATATGCCATGAATGGGCTCATGCAGTATGTTCTGAGAAAGACAACTTTGCTTCAGATCATTCAGGTTATCTTTGTAGTAATTGTTGTCTTAATTCTATGTATTTTACAGGGGTTATCTTCCCTCTCAACATTAATACCTTCTAAAAGCTAGAACCTCAGGCCACATATGTGAAGAGGTTGATCCTTTTTCTATGCAGAGGTTCATCTTTTATTGAACTAACTGAAAAGGATCGTCTGACTATGAATATTTACAAGTCTGAGCTTTTTTGTCCATAAGCTTCTAAAGAAAACCTGATAACATGCTTTTTTTCCAAATCCTTTGTAGAACAGTAAGTTTATTTCTCATGGATTTTCATGCTTACAGCTTGCAAAAAACCCCAACAGATCAAACCTAGTAACTTGTGATACAAGAGCTGCCTTTTTACTCGACTAGGAGAAAGGTTTCAAACTCAGAAATGGCAATTGGAGATATTCAATGTCTTTTGTGGCAGAGGCTGAACTCCTTTGGAGAATCTTGTATTGGTTCAACTATCAAAAAAGATAATAGAGATTAATACAAAGAAACAAACACTTCTTGCTGCTGTCTTCAGCTTTAATGATACCAGCTTAAAGCTACTGCATGGGTGGGTGTATGGTTGTTTGTGAGCATATGAGAACTGAGCAGCTAACAATGCTTTGTCTTCAGCTACTGAACTCCAGTGAGCACGTGCAGCCACAGAAAACAGTCTTTTGGGGCCCATAGCTCCTGTCCAGTTATTTGCAGGCATTGGCACCCCACAGCTATGGAGTGTGAGTGGCAGATGCAATCTGTTAAGACTGGGTGAAATCAAGCACAGGGCCACAGGGCTTTCCTGCTTTATGCTACTTTCACATGTCATGTTCATATCTAAGCATTATTTTCTGATCTAACCTCCACGACTGCCTTCTACAGGCACTTAGTTGTTGGCAAGCTGCTTCAAGCCAACTGAAGGGAAAAAGCTGTGAGCTGCACAAATAGCTAAAAACAAGACAAGATTTTGGGGATTAAAAGTATTTTTTTAACTTGGTTGCAGACTTATTAATACAGAGCAACCAGTCTGAGACCATTCTTAATGCCTGACGTCTTTAAACTCATTCATCCTTTTTCTTGCATCCATCTTTTGGATAGATAACCCTGCTATAAGTTGCTGTTTACATAGGATTTAATGAGTTTTGTGGAGAAAACTGTTTTTGTGAAGACAGATATTGCATTAAATTGGAGGTTATAAAGAAGACAAATATGGCTGATCATAACCCCCAGGGCAGGGGAATTGGAACTAGATGATCTTCAAGGTTCCCTTCCAACCCAAACCTCTTCAGGCCAGAACAGTCTGACCCCTGTTAAAAACAGACCTACCTTTATAAGAATGCACACAGAGAAAGGGAAATTTCTATGGGGCTTATGGTTTCATCTGTCCCCTTTTGTATAAGTGTAACATCCCCAATATCTATCTGATTTTCAGTTTCACCCTGCATACTTAACTGACATGAGCACATTTGTCTTACCAGCAGCGTGGCAGAACCAACAAGCCAGTGAAAGGGATTCTTTTCAGCTACACGCCTCACTGGCACTGATATCAGTGAGGCTCCCACTGCGGCATGGTCAGTTCTTGGGGTGTGAGAGGGGATGGAAAACCTCCCAGCCTGGTCCTCAGTGTTGCACGGTGGAGTTTGCAGAATGGTCTCTTCAAACATTATTTTTGACTTCTAAACTGAACCTTTTTGGTACAAAAGGCACAGAAAAGGCACTTTCCACACAGTCTCACAATGCAATTTTTGCTGTCCAATGTCAGAAACTTGTAATTCATCCTTAAAAGGTCACGCTGATCCCAAATGCATGGCCTCAAAGAGTTGATGTGTACCTGAGAAATTGTAGATATTTCCAAGTTTCCAAAATCATGAAAAGGCATAAAATGCATATGAAGTTCTTGAAGCCTGTGGCCAAGAAAGCCCTTCCCTTCCCTTCCCTTCCCTTCCCTTCCCTTCCCTTCCCTTCC